GTCCATCCCTCTCATTTGCACTCCATACTGAGCCTCTTCCTCCTTAGTCACCTGGCAACCTTGGGTCTCAGCCCCCTCTGCTCATGCCTCTAGCCTGGCTCCGATCAAACCCCTAGACTAAGAATCAGCCTCTGAAGGGAAGGTTCCAAACCCCCTGCCCTTGAATTGGACTTTGCAGGGGGCAGCATAGTGAAGGGGAACAAATAAGAGCTTTTGCATCAAACGCAGCTGGGTTCAAATCCTGGCTCAGACACTGACTGACTGGGTGACAATGGGCAAGCCACCTGCCCTCTCCATACCTGTTTCTTTATCTGTAAATTGGAGGTGCTAATAAAAATCTGTATCTTTCAGAGTTGTATTGGTTGAGAAAGGACTGGAGGTATAATGACATGTGACAAGTGGCATTCAATAAATGGTAGCTATTATTGCAAAGGCACACTAGCTTGCTGGCCCCTTGGTAAGAAGAGAGGGGAGCGGTCTCTGATGCTCATTTTACAGTTGAACAAACTGAGGCCCAGAGATGGGAAGTGCCACCTCGTCAGACAGGGTTTCTTGGACATACCTGGGTTCTAGAACCTCCCACTGAAGGCAGAGGCCCAGGGGATGTTCTTTGGAATAGTGGCCACACCTAAGAAGGTTTCAACCTCCCTGCATTCTTCTTTAACCTCTTTCTTCCATTTCTGAGCTCATCTCCTCTTCCCATCTTTCCCCTTTATTTTTAACTCTGTATTTTTTCTAGCTCCTTTCTACCAGAGGTTCATATTTTGCATCAAGCCCCTTCTAGCTTTTGAGTGTTTTGTTTTGTTTCTCCCACGTGCATGCACGTGTGTGTGTGTGTGTGTATGTGTATTTTTTTCCCTGTGCATGTTATTCTTGGAGACAGAACTGCCTTCGCTTAGATGATGGGATGGAAGGCATGGGGACAGAGGCATGACATCCCCTTTGGGACACTGCTGTCTCCTGGCTCACCAGGGCATGGGAATCTTAGGGTAGGTCACCAGGGAAGCTCCCAGTGTGCAGGGCAGGGACACTTCTTCCCAAAGAGACAATGAAACAGCAAGTGACAGCCCTCACCTCCTGACCGCAGCTTACCTCTCCCACTCCCTGCCACCAAAGTTAGTCTCCTGCCTGGAAAAACAGCCTTGAGCTACCATGGTTATATCTGTTTCTCCAGGAATGCATCAGTGACCACAGACCAAGGCACAGTGAGAAGTCACTGCTGGGAAGACCAGCCTTCAAGTCCAGGGTCACAGAGTGGCTCATCCCTTCCCCATCGCCAGATCCACTTTGCGCTTCTGGCTTCTCATGGTCATGATGTGTGTTACCAGATTTCTCGTGACCATCCTATCACATGATGAGGAAACAGAAGTCCAGAGAAGTGGAGAGGCCTCCCAAAGTCACACAGCTGTGGTTTCCCAATTCTGAATCACAAGTAGACATTGCTCCCAAAGCACAGAAGATCTGCACTTAGCATAGGACAACCACGCACCATTCCTCAGAGTGCTCAGACACATTTAACACAGTGGGACGCTGATCACCAACACGTGGTCTAATGGGTTTCAGCTCTTCTATTTAAAAAGGCAGAGAAAAGCTTAAGGAATGGTGAGAATTCTCCCTGAAAAGCATTTTAAAACATTTTCATCTCTAAAGGAATAAGCCCTTACCAAGAAAGAAAACTTGACTTTCCATAAAAATCTAATTTCCTGGGGTTTCACTGACTTTGGCTTTTTACTTAACAGTGAAAGGGTCATTTCATTTACACACAGTCTTTTCAAATGAGAAGGCCCCTTTGGGGGTCAGAACCCTGCTGCCTACAGGGTGGCTTTGTGGGAATTAGAAAACGGTGTCACTTCCTCAATACATTTACTTCCATCTATCAAAACATTGTTGTAATACATGGATTTCATTAAGTTGAGACATTTAACTGCCATCTGCCAGAAAATTATCATGATAAATATCACAAAACTATAATTTCTATGAAATAGCATCCCTGGATTATCATCTATTGCTGCGTAACAATGCAAAAACATAGTGGCTTAAAATGAGAATAAACATTTGTTGCCTCCCAGTTTCTGTGGATCAGGAATTTGGGAGAAGCCCAACTGAGCAGTCCTGGTTCAGTGTCTTTCATGAGGTTGCAGTCAAGATGTCAGCCAGGACTGCTGTCATCAGAAGGCCTGACTGGGGCTGAAAGATCCACTCTCAAGGTGGCTCACCCATTCAACTAGCAAGTTGGCATTGGCTGCTGGCAGAAGGCCTCAGTCCTCTGCCATTGGGACCTCTCCCTAGGGCTGCTTGAGCACCCTCACAACATGGCAGCTGGCTTCCCCAGAATGAGTGAGCCAAGAGAAAGCAAGGTGGAAGCAGCAATGTCTTTTATGACCTCACCTCTGAGGTCATGTCTCTTGACTTCCATAGATCTTATTGGTTAGGCAGGTAAGCCTTATTTATGTGGGAAGGGATGAAATCATGCCACCAAGAGGCAAGAGTTACTGAGAGCCATGTCTGAACCTTCTACCACAGCCCACTTAGATGTAGTGCCGTTATACAGTAAAAAAGTTGCACAACAGTAATTTCAGGCCAGCTAAGGACAGCCGTTGCCATAGACCTTCCACCAACTTTGTTCCAGGACTGTGCTAAGCACTTAATGATATTATCTGCCCTCAAGCAGCTTACAATCTAGCAGATACACCAATCATTACAGTTCAAGGCAGAGTCAAATAAATGACGAGTCAAATAGGAGACCAAAGGCTGGAGAGACTAAGCCTCTAAATTGAGGGATGGGGAAAGGGTTGTCTAAGTGGGCCCTGGAAGTGTGGATGGGATGTGGACCCCTAGAAGTGCAAGATGTTGGGTGTTCTCAAGCCAAGAAAGCAGCATGAACAAAGGCATGGCAGCTGAGAACAGGGTGTATGTTTAGGGTGTGGCGAGTAGGGGCTGCGAAGGTACATTTGGGTCACATTGGAGGGGAATGTTGCAGCCACTCAGTCCATCTAGGTGACCACCCACTCTCAGGTATGCTCAGAAGGTGGAATGGGAAAAGCTGATTGAGCCACAGCTCTATTTTCTCCTCTCCCCTTCTCTTCTTGCCCTAGCAGAAGAGAAACCACCACCAAAACTTACACAGAGTAGGGGAGGCTGTCCGGGGAGCAAGGGAGAGGAATCCCTCCCAAGACTCTTAAGAAAGGCAGTAGCCTGGGGCTGGGGCCCTCTCCACTTTATTACAGTTGTTATGTCCCTTTAAGTTGTTAGGGCACAGACATTCTTGATTTGTTCTCTGTGCATCCCCAAAGTCCAGTACAGAGCCTGACACAGGAAGAAACCCCAATAATATTTAGTGAATGAATGCATGGACTGGCAGGGTCTCTGGCCCTTTTAAAGATGAGAAGGTGGGAAAGCAGTGAGGCCCTAGCTCTGGGAAGCCTCCCAAGCCTCTTGGGGCATGGCAGAGAAGTCTAATTCCAGGTACCTGGCCAGTGAGATTGCTTAGGGAAGGCCTGGGCTGCCCCATGGTGGAGGAGAAGGTGAGGGCAGGGGAGGAGCACCCAGCACCCTCCATGCCCGCCACCTCCCCAGTGCCTCCAGGCCCCACTCACATTTCATGAGCTGGCACTTCTCACTCCTCCCCACCCCCTGCCTCTGCCTTCCCAGGGAAAAACATCCAGAAGATAAATGTGTAAGGATCTCCAGAGCGCTTCCTGCTGAGGCGTGGGGCTTTAGGGTTTTTCTTTTTTGTTTTCTCCCCACTTTATTGTTATCTTGGTACAAGCCGCTGGGCCAGGACGTTGCTAAGATTTATCTAGATGGGCCATGCTGAAACTTTGCTGCAAGTAGAAGAGCCCTATCAAGCTCGTCCAACCCGCCTTATTTTATTGCTGTTGTTATGTTTTGTTTTTAGACTTTCACCAGCCTGAAGCCATGGTTTTTAGTTTCTGTCTCTAGTGATAAGTGGAAAAGAGGGATGAGGAAGGGGCTTTACTGGCCCAAGCAGAAATAGAAACTAACAACCCATGACCGTATTCTCTCCTTGGGACACCCCTACCTGCTCTGGCACATACCACATTTTGTCCTGGTTGACTCTGTTCACCCGTGCTGTGAGCTGTACTTCCTGAAAGGAAGCGATGCCAGTTGTCCTCTGTCATGCCCTGCTTTCTCCTGGCAGCTGCGACTGGCCATACTTTATGTATAACATGTATAATGATAAGGTGTCTCAGAAGAGGCTTCTCACCACAGGGGTTATTTTCATGAGGCTAACAGAATACAGATATGAAAAAAGTAACAATGTACTTGCATTTATATTTATATTGCATGTATATTTATATTGAATATTGCATTTATATTTGTATTGAATTTAAATATTTATAGGTGAAATGGCTCTCAGATATACATATATAGGATGTTAGTTTTTTTTAATAAAAAGATCAAGAATTACAAATGGAAGAAAACTTCAACTACAGTGAATGAGTAAAGTCGGGAAGCAAAACACTCCACGAGGCCCCCATTCACTTGCTGAAAATGGGCCACAAAATTTGTTTTAAGCTTCCCAGTAGCCAGTGCAAAGTGTGAGTCTGTTACAGAGTCAGAGGATTTGTGAGACAAACCAGAGCCGCTTCTCAGCAGAAGCAGTGAGAGGTCCTTGCCGCACAGAGGTGGGTCCTGTTCCTGTAGTCAAGGCAACAGCTGGGTTTGTGTGGCTTCTCATCCTGCCATTGTATTCTGCAACTGCATGTTGGCAAAGTGGAATTCAGTAAAACCAAGCCTGCGAGAAGCCTTGCAGGCTTTGCCGAGTACCTGACACCAGCTGCCCAGTGAGAAACCTAACTCCAAGAGTCTTAGGGGTCGAGAGAAAAGCCCCATCTTGTAAGCCACGCTGTGAATTGCAGGTGAGATTTGGCAAAGCTGAGAGGCAGGAGGACCAGCCTTGCAGTGGACAGGGAGCCCTTATGCAAAGGAGGTGGCTCACTGAGTCCTAACCCAGTCTTCTCTGTGTGTCTCTGCAGGGCTCTGGCTGAGAACATGGCCAATGACATTGACGAGCTCATTGGCATTCCCTTCCCCAACCACAGCAGTGAAGTCCTGTGCAGCCTCAATGAGCAGCGGCACGATGGCCTGCTGTGCGACGTGCTCCTGGTGGTGCAGGAGCAGGAGTATCGGACCCACCGCTCTGTCCTGGCTGCCTGCAGCAAGTACTTCAAGAAGCTCTTCACCGCCGGCACCCTAGCCAGCCAGCCTTACGTCTACGAGATTGACTTTGTGCAGCCTGAGGCTCTAGCCGCTATCCTGGAGTTCGCCTATACCTCCACGCTCACCATTACCGCCGGCAACGTCAAGCACATCCTCAATGCCGCCAGGATGCTGGAGATCCAGTGCATCGTGAACGTGTGCCTGGAGATCATGGAGCCTGGGGGGGACGGCGGGGAGGAGGATGACAAGGAGGACGACGATGACGACGAAGATGATGATGATGAGGAGGACGAAGAGGAGGAGGAAGAGGAAGAGGAAGAGGATGACGATGATGACACAGAGGATTTTGCTGACCAAGAAAACTTGCCTGACCCCCAGGACATCAACTGCCACCAAAGCCCTTCCAAGACGGACCATCTCACGGAGAAGGCCTATTCAGACACCCCCAGGGACTTCCCTGACTCCTTCCAGGCTGGCAGTCCTGGCCATCTGGGGGTGATCCGGGACTTCTCCATTGAATCTCTGCTGAGGGAGAACCTGTACCCCAAAGCCAACATCCCCGACAGGAGACCCTCCTTGTCTCCATTTGCCCCAGACTTCTTCCCACACCTCTGGCCAGGGGACTTTGGTGCCTTTGCCCAGCTGCCTGAGCAGCCCATGGACAGTGGGCCACTGGATCTGGTCATCAAGAACCGGAAGATCAAGGAGGAGGAGAAGGAGGAGCTGCCCCCACCCCCACCACCACCCTTCCCTAACGACTTCTTCAAGGACATGTTCCCTGACCTGCCTGGGGGGCCTCTGGGCCCCATCAAGGCAGAGAACGACTACGGTGCCTATCTCAACTTCCTGAGTGCCACCCACCTGGGGGGCCTCTTCCCACCCTGGCCCTTGGTGGAAGAGCGCAAGCTGAAGCCCAAGGCCTCTCAGCAGTGCCCCATTTGCCACAAAGTCATCATGGGGGCCGGGAAACTGCCGCGGCACATGAGGACCCACACCGGGGAGAAGCCATACATGTGCACCATCTGCGAGGTCCGCTTCACCAGGTGCGCATTGCAGCCTCGGGTGTGGGGGACAGGGCCGGAGGCCATGGGGGACAGCGGAGTTGGGCAGGGAAGCTGGGGATGGTGACAGAGACCCAGAAAGATCCCAGACACATGCAGGTTCGTGGCTAGCAGGGGTGCTAGGCGTTACCTGGTACTGTGACTTTCAAACCCTTTTTAGGAGCTGCAGTATTTTCTCAGATAAAATATATGGAAACCCATGACATAAAACAGCTAAGAGCAGGACTGTTTTGGTTGGGACAGAAGTGAGGCGCCTCAAGCATCTTGGTTGCTTGGCTTCCCCATCCTCTTCCAGCTGTAAATTCATGGAGCCCAGCTGGGATGGATGGCACTCCCAGATGGAGTGCTGCCCCTTCATTTTATTTGGAGAAGCAGCTGCTGACCTTTATGAAGCATGTTCTACATGCCAGGGGCCTTCCTAGGCACCATAAACATACTCTCACCACAGCCAGGCCCTGGGAAGATGGGAAGATGGGGAGACATGGTGGACTTCGTTTACGATACACCTCCTCGTAGCTAGCTGACCACGAGTGTGCACTGGAAAATGGCAGAACTGGGACTGGCATCCCAGTCCCTGTGTGACAGCCAAGTCTGTGACCAGGAGACTGCAGAGGTGCCTGTAGGTCCTTCCCATCATTTTGGGATCAGACCTAAAGGTTGGGCCTCTTTTTATGTTCCCCTTTGCCTTTCCATGTTAGGAAGGGGGACAGCTCTATGCTGTTATAAAATTCGAAATTTGAAATCAATACGTTATAAGCCAGTCATCTTTCACAGACCCTGTCCCATTCAGCAAGAGTATGTTATATGCCTACTCCGCACAGCAACTTTTGCAGTCAAAACTGATGAGTGGGTTGATGTGGGGTCAGATCTGTCCACTGCCAGCTTTGGAGAGGGCTCACTTTTGAAAAATACAGGCTGTTGGTGCTCTCTATGGTTCCTGGCGGGAGGCTGATCTTCTCAGCCCTATCCACAAATGCGGAGGATTCTAGTGGGTGGCCTGGCATTGGGGCTTCGTCATTTCAGTGTGTCCTGTGTGCACAGAGCCTGGCGATGTCTACCCTGTGACCACGACTTACTAGACCAGGTTCCTTCCCCACACTGCCACTTTCCCTCTCAACTCACCTGGAGAGACCCACGCTTATTCCAGTGGTGCTGCTCCTGCCCCACTTCCCCCGTTGGAGATGTATCTTTGGGAATTGCTGGCAGCTCATTCTTTTGATTTTCCTCAGTGGGCCCAAAGCTTTGGCCTGAGGATGCAGCACAAGTTTGTGAATGAGGGTGGATATCAAATCAGGGACTATGCTTTTCCAGAAAAAAAAAGATGAGTCCTCTCAAGTCATGAGACCGGTTCTCTTGGGTGGCTTGGAAACTAACGTTGGCAGAGAAGAGTTTCAGAAATTCGTTCAGTGGACCCTGTTGTGTCTGAAATTGCTCTGCTGGCTCCTCTGATGACTGCTTTGAAGGACAACACTGATTGTTTCCAAGGCAGCCTTAGGGTCCTACTCACAGCTGCTTCTGTGAGGAGAACCCCAGATAGCATCTGTCCCGGATGCTTCCAGTGACAGTAGAGGGAGAAGCTGCAGGAGCAGAGGGGCAGGGCCTCACAGACCCAGGATGTGTCTTCCTTGCCCTTAGCAGTGAGCTAAGCCAGCCACCCGGCAATGCCGATGGCAGGGCGCCCTGCTCCTGTTAGCCCCCAGAGCAGGCAGACCCAAAGTTCCCGAGATTTGCCTCCCCTTGGATGTCCCTCAGTGACAGCCCTGCCACCCCAGTGCCACTGTGGTTGATGTTGCCCCCTGCCTCCTCCTGAATTCACCTTAGCCCCATGGAGCCAGGCAGAACACCTGAACAGGCCTTGGCAAAAGCACAGAAACCACCGAGGGAGATAAATCAGAGCACCATGTGAAAGCCAAATTCGGGTACAGCTCACACATCTTCAAGGGGAGTCTGACTTCAGCCCGAGTCCCAGCCCTTGCCTATGACTTTAAGATTGCCAGGAAGCTCTGCACAGGCCCAATCAGGAAAGCCAGCCGCGTTATCAGCCCAGAGCATCCTCTCCTGCTAACACAGGCTCCACCTCCCTCACTGCCCATGGCTGTCCCCTTGGCAGATGGCTGACAGGAGCACCTCTCCCGTCACGGGAGACTGAGGCTGGTGACTCCAATTCCAAAGGGATCTGTGTCTCAGGGTACCACTGTGGCCCTCCTGGCACCTGAGCCGCCACCTCCCTTCCTTCCCCACTCCCTTTTCTCTGGCCCACACACAGCCTTCTGTGAGGTCCATGCCAGGTCTGGATGGTCTGTGTGCCCTGTTTTTTTTTGTTTTTGTTTTTGTTTTTTGAGACAATTTCACTCCCGTCACCCAGGCTGGAGTACAATCACATGATCTCAGCTCATTGTAACCTCTGCCCTCTGGGTACAAGTGATTATCCTGCTCCAGCCTCCCAAGTAGCTGGGATTACAGTTGTGTGCCACCACACCCAGCTAATTTTTGTATTTTTAGTAGAGATGGGGTTTCATTATATTGGCCAGGCTGGTCTCGAACTCTTGACCTCAGGCGATCCACCCATCTCAGCCTACCAAAGTGCTGGGATTACAGGTGTGAGACACTACGCCCGGCTTGTGTGTCCTGTTTTAAGGGAAAGTTTTAACCTTGCACAGTCACTGCTGACAGACTCTTCACCCTCTGGACCCTGGGACATTCTCTGGGAGTAGGCCTCCTGATTGGGGCAGCAGTGCTGTGTTGTATAGGAGGGTGACATGCCAGATTCCTCCCTCCAGCACATTCCTGATGGTCACTCAGGATGGTCTCTGTGTCTGCAGTCCCCACTCCCGGCCAGGTCTGTGGTAGGGGGCAGCTCTGGTCATCCAGCCATCTGGCCTTGTGCTCCTCCTGCTCCAGAATGGCAGCTATCTGGCCCCAGGCCTGTCTCCAGCTGAAGCCAATGCATTCCAGCCCCCTAGGCACCCCCACCACTTATCCCTGCTGGGCTCTGACCCTCCCAAAACAGATCAGACAAGCTCTTGAGTCTCTCTCTTACCAGGAGGGAAGAAACCCCGGGCTAGGGGAAGGCAGGGTGGAGAGATGACTCCTCCTCACTTCAGAGGCTTTATTGCTCACCGTGGGCTGTGGCTGCCCTTGTGGGGCACTCCCCATTCTCCTCCCTCACATTCTTCAGAATCACTGGGCCTTTGCTTCTCACCCTGTCTCTGGACCTGCCTGGCAAGGATTCTTTTCAGTGCTTGAAAAGCATGGACTGTCCAGGTTGAAGTTTTCCTGTAATTCTCCCTGTGGCCAAAGCTCCCTGCAGGCTTTCCACGGGGACCTTCTTTTTGGCTGAATTCCCTGTTGCGATTCCTAACACCTGCTCCTTCCACCTGGAATCTCTTCAGCAGCCACTTAGAGCGGCAACAGCCAGCTGCCTTATTGACATAGAATTCCCAGACTCCCTTCCAAGGCCACGCCACTGAGACTGGGCCCTGTAGTGTCCCTCTTGTCCCCCAACAAGGACCCAGACATGCTGCCCTCAAGCCTTCCTCTTGGAAATGATTTCCTCTTCTGGAACCCAAGTCTTTCCTTCAGCACAGCTGAGCTTCTGCCCTGGCAAAGTCCCATTTCCTACCTCCTTGATGCTGGGAAGAGCTCAGGGTCCTGTGACACTCCTGTGGGGTGCTGGAGAAGCCTGCCCTTCCGCCACATGGTGGCCCATCAGCCCAGGCTCTGAGTCACAGCATCCCAGATGCCAACTCCCAGAATGTCCACACCCCATGGGGACGTCACTCCTAATGACCTCAGCAGCCACAACCAAGGTGGAGGGCATGGGGACCCTTCCAGCAAAGCCCCTCAACCCCTAAGGCCCTGTCCACTACTGTCATTCTGTGGGTCTGGAGAGGAGGGACAGAGTCCCCCCCACACACAATGGTATTGTCTGTTCTTTGGTGTCAGAAACCTCACCTCTGAGATAGCTCTAGATTTCAGCCAGTCCTACAAGTTGTCCCACCACTGATCTGTTCCAAATATGAAATATCCCTAGGCAGGGCCTTAAAGGCATCAACCAAACTGTTTCTTTGGCCCCATGCTGTCCTTTCCTAGCTCTGGTTACCCCATAACCACTGGGGTTCCCTTTGCCTGTGCACTCCCTTGGCTCAGTTCAAGGGCACTGTTTTCTTCCTGGGAAAGGGTCGTGCTGGCCAGAGAGGCAGCTCCTGTCCCTTCCAGGTCCTACTTGAGACAGAAACAGCTCCAGGTCATAGGGCAGAGGCAGTCTAGACCAGGATTACCTCAGATCCTCTTCATCAGGGGTCCTTTCCCTTCTCTTCCCAGAAAGCTGGGAAGCTAGGAGCCAAAGGTTAGAATGGCAGAGTTCTGCCAGAGGTGACACCTAGGTCGAGCCTAGAAGAACAGGAGCCATGTGATCTTGGGAAGATAAAGCATTTGTCTTCATGCATAGCGACACTGCCGAGCTTGGTGGGTATTTTCTCTGTCCACAGACATCCCAGGTGGCCCCCCGCACACCTTTTTGCCCCCTTTGCAGCCATCACTGCCACTGGGCCTGGCCCTGGCCCTGTGAAAGCCTCTACACCTTCCTCCTCTTTATTCCCGCCACATGGGTCCTTGATTGCAGGCCACAGGGACTTTCCTCCCACCTCCCCCAGCCCTTCTGTTAGGACCGCCTAGAGAGCACGGCTGGCTGATCTCCCTCCTGAAGCCCCTGCATCCTGTGGAAGCCTGGCTCCCAGTGGTGCCCCAGCCATGCTTGATGGGGTCAGTAGTGAAGGCAAGAAACTGCAAAATGAGAAGAGACTGGCCCAAAGACAGCAGAGGTCCCGTGGAGGGCACACAGTCCTGGGCGGGGATAGGCGACCCCTGCAGCACAGTCACTCTGACAAGCCACGCTTTCCAGTTCCCGCTGAACCCTGAAGGCTGCACCTTTCCGTCTCCACCACCCTCCTCCAGTGCCAGCCAAATGCTGACCAGCCCTGTCCCCCACGGCTGCCTGCTCTCCAGACAAGCCAGCAATCTGCCTTTTGTTTTCCCTCTGTTTTCTTTGTAGTCCTCCCACTCCTGGCAGCTCTGGGAACCTTATTAAGATAATGTAATGGCATTAGCAGTGGTAGCAGGAAGTGTGTGTCTCAAACCATCAGGTTACAAGAAGTCCAGTGGAGGCTGCTGGGAAAGCATTATCCTGATTGGGAGACTTTCTGGAGGCCACAGACCTCAGGCCAAGACCCCACAGCCCTTTTCTTTGATTCTGGGAATGAGCTCATGAGGACTTACACATCTTTCCCAACAATGGGCTCTCCAGGCTGGAAGGGAGCATGTAGACAGAGGCTTGGGTGTGTATGTCCTTCACTGTCCCTGATGCAGAGAAATGGAATGAGATGACAGACAAGGGGACCAGGGCCAGAGGAAAGCATGTTGGATTTGGAATTGGGCACCTCTGAAATTGGCCCCACTAGTCAGTCACCAAACATGTGATGAGCTTCCTCTCTATCTACATTCAGTGCCGTGCAGAGTATAAAAGAGCATCCCACAGGTTCTCATCAAAGCAGATACCAGACCCTCCATGACACATGCAGGGAGGAAGAAGGCTAGGCCGAGGAAGGGGCACCCTGGCTCTGCACTTGGCCTTCTAGGAAGGCCCTAAGGATGGAGCATCGGTGTCCAAGCACAAGACATGCACACAAGGGAAGGAGCCAGGGTTTACCGGGCATCCACCCTATCATGTGATGGGCTGTGCACTGGGGGACCAGCAGTCCCATTTATACTGGCATGATAGGGCCAGCCTCTTCTCATTCTGCAGTCCTTGTAGGCCACAGGTGTTCAAAGATGCAGAGTTGGCCACAGTGTGGGGCAGTGCACCATGGGGGACAGTCAGGAAGCTGGCAGAGTAGATGGGAGTGAGCTTGAAAAGAGCCCAGAAAGCTATGCTAAGGGGTATGTGAGTACATACGCCACTGGACAAGGGAGGCCTCAGGAAATTTTAAGTGGAATCTCCAGACCTCCATTTCTACAGAGAAGTAACTAAGAGCTCAGCTCCCGAGATTCAGGCTAGAACATATTCCCACTAAACACACACTGCTTCCACAAGCAGACTGAATTTGTAAAGGAGCAAGGAAGCCAGCCAGCCAAACAGACTCCAGAAAGAAATTTAGTAGACACCCATTACCCAGATGCAAACACTCATGGAGCACGAGCTGTCCCAAGGATGCAGCCCAACCCCCATTTAGAGATTAGGAAACTGAGTCCAGACCAGAGAAAGGACCTGGTCCAGTTTTTGGAGCATGCCCAGCACCACCTCCAGCACCAATGCACATGTCATAGTATCCACAGGAAAGGTCAGTGTAAAGGAGGAGGCTGTGTGGCCCCTGAACACCATTCCCTCTTTGGTCCTTGCTTTCCTTATCTTGGAATTAATTAGATCCATGTTTTCAAGGTCGTGAGAAATGTAGTGCTAATGGTGTGGCTTACTGGGCCCACTGACTCAAGCAGTGAATCAAATGTAGTAAAGTGTGCCTGGTAAACTAGATGATCCTCTGAAGTTTTTTCCAGAACTGGCTTATCATGAGCTTTGCACACTCTTCCCACCCCTTACCCCCACTCCCCCAAAATGTCTCCGTTAAGGAAAGACAGCTCCTGCGCAGCTCCATTGGCACACCCCAGTCTTGTGGCCACAGAGGCAGAAAGCTGGCTACTGGTGCCCTCTCGTGATTGTTCTGGTCTGCCCTTTCTGCAGCAGTCCTTGCAGGCCACAGGTTGGGAGTCCCTCATGTGAAAATCTATCCTTCCTCATCCCCAGAATAGCTTACAAACAAACCACAGCCAGGTAGCCCCTCAGGTTTCTTTGCCCCTCACCAGCTGGATAGCTTTGGGAAGCGCTGGACTTCTTCGAGCCTCCTTTCTGCCTATGTCCAAGTGAGGAAATTATACCAAGTGTGTTGAATCCAGCTCGCTCAAACCCAGATTCTCTCCATCTGCCCTGGACAATGGGAAGTGATGTCTGGTGCTAGGTTTAGCTCTGCACAGAGAGGTTAAATAACTTGCCTGAGGCCACCCAGCAAGTTGGTGGTGGGTCTGGAGCTACAGCTGGGACTCCCAGACTCCTAGAGGGGCCCTACCTCTACACCATACCTTGCCTCTGAATAATGAATTCCCAGGGTCAATGAAGTCACATACTTACTTCCCCATAGCATGTGTTCAATAAAAGGACATTGTAGGCACCTTCTCCATGCTTCTTACATATGTAGACCAATTGTCACAAAAATGGGACTTATTTTAGATACACTAATGAGAAGTTTGGGAGACATTTGAAAATTTGCCACTTACATTGTCCATTGTTTGAGAGTGACCTCAAGGGTCAGTACTACTAATTATGTGTAATAGTGACTTTAAAAAAAAAAAAAAAAACCTACCTCAGCCAGGCATAGTGGCTCGTGCCTATAATCCCAACACTTTGGGAGGCCAAAGCAGGCAGATCTCAAGGTCAGGAGTTCGAAACCAGCCTGATCAACGTGGTGAAACCCCATCTCTACTAAAAATACAAAACTTAGCCAGGCACGGTAGCACATGCCTGTAATCCAGCTACTCAGGAGTCTGAGGCAGGAGAATCACTTGAACCTGGGAGGCAAATGTTGCGATAAGCCAAGATCACACCATGGCACTGCAGCCTGGGCAACAGAATGAGACTCCGACTCAAAAAAAAAAAAAAAATCTACCTCATAGGTCGTGGTGAGGAGTAATGAGATGATGCATTTTTAAATGAGATGATGCCCCACTCAGCTGATTCTGAGCCCTCTACCAGGCCTGGTGATGGAGCCCATCCGATCACCTAGCATCAGTGTTTCCATCAGAGCCTGGATGAATTTGTGAAGGCCCAAGACATATCCCTCAGGACTGGGAAACTGCATCACTCCAGATGGTACAGATGGCCCTGGGTACCCGACACTTCCATTTTCACAGCCACAGTGCCACAGTGAGAACAGAGGCCTTGACTCTCAGGCCTGCCGTGACCCTCTAGGTGAGCTTGGCAAGTTTCCTAGCTCAGCCTGTTTGCCCACCTACATGGTAGAGGCTTTGCCTGGACTGGTGGTTCTCAATGTGGGGTCCACGGACCACCACCACCAGCAGCATCTGGCAACCGGTTAGAAATGCAAATCCTGTCCCTCTCCGTACCCAGACCTACTGCTCAGAATCTCTGGGAATAGGGCTCAGCACTGTTTTACTGAGTTCTGATCATGATTCAGATGCATCCTTAAGTTTGAGACCTACTGGCCTAAATGGTCTCTGAGGTTCCCTTCCTCCTCAAAAATCCAATCATCTAGTCTAGGTGAAATCTGGGTTACAGAGACCACAGTATGCTGGTAGGGGGTGGGATATCACAGTAGGTTACTGTGTAGCCTGGGGGTGGCAGGTGGGTTGTAGAAGAAGCAGGAGCAGTGGGATGTGGAAGGGAGGAGGGACCCCACTTTCCTTCCTCCCCCTCCCAGGGCCTCTCCAGCCTTCCTGTGAGCACCGGTGGGAGGACTGGATCTGTCCTCTCTGATCCTCCTCCCACAGTGCCTGCCAGTGTTCATGGGAATGTCCTTTTCTCTCCTGCTCTGCCTCTGGAGAACCGGTTTGAAATGAGAGTTGGTGAGACCTCTAGTGGTCAGGGGACACCAGGAGCCTAGGACCTGCACCTGCTGTCCTGGGATTATGTTAAACTGGGTTTCAATCTGGCCATGTTAGGGAGGACACCTGGACTCCACATCTGCTCTGACCTCAAAGCAGAGCCTGAAATTATAGGCAGATGCTCCACCCAAGCCACACCTGCAGGGAGGAGGTGGGAAACTAAACACAGAGCTTCCTGGCCCATATGGTCCCGTTGGGGAAGGCTGCAAATTATCCCAAGAGGAATTCCTACAGCCCAGCTGCCTAAACCTGAGCCACCTTAAGCTGGTTTACCCAGTGCTCAGTCTTTATGAAAACAACCCCCTGATGTCAGTTTTCCCGTCAGGCCACCAGGAGGTGCGTGGAATTTCGTTCACACCAATCCAGATGCTTTCCATCAGCCCTAGACAATGAGAATGGATGTCTGGCTCCAGGTTCAGCTGTGCAGTGAGGTTAAGTAACTTGCCTGAGGTCACCAGCAAGTTAGTTGTGGGTCTGCAGCTGGAGCAGAGGCTCCCAGACCCCCAGTTGGTACCCCACCCTACATCATACCTTACCTGTGAATAATACCACTTAAACTCTGAAAAGTTTTGCCCTAGATTAGGCTGCATTCTTGTCGCACCTGGCTCTTTTGTAAAACCCTGAAATTGTCTACAAAGAGGAGAGCCCAAGGCTTAGGATTAGAAACCAGTATGCAGGAGGTTTGAATGAGGTGTGCCCAAGCTTCTATAGCCTCCCAGATTAGTGCCAAACACAGGCAGATCTCAACAGCTCAGGGGCTGGGATGGGACCACGGGCTTTGGGCCAAAGCATATGGATGAACTGGAGGGAAAGCATACCGTTGCCTAGAAGAGTGGGTGTGAGATTAAAGTGCAATCCAGTATCAGCAGAAGTCACTGCACTGTTCTAGGACCAAGGTCAGAATGCTGACTTCTGGCAAAGTATCTACCTAGCAAGTCCATTTTCCAGTATGTGAGATAAACTCCTAATAGAGTGGGAGTTTTGTCACTCTAAGCTCGGGTATAAAAGGAGTTCGGGGAGTGGGGCTTTCAGGACACTGCTCCTTCCCCATCCCTTTAATCCAGGTGAGTAACCATATCTGTCTAAGGTGGGACAGCAGTTGAGGGTAGATCTAGCATAAGATCTATCTCTAGTAGGGAGCCTAGATCTATCGCCAGTAGGGAGCCTCCGCTGGTTCTGGAGGAAGGGGAGCCGAAGGTTAGGAGTGGCTCCTAGTGTTCCCTGCGGGACTGACCACCAGTCTCTGCATTGCAGGCAGGACAAGCTGAAGATCCACATGCGGAAGCACACGGGCGAGCGGCCCTACCTGTGCATCCACTGCAACGCCAAGTTCGTGCACAACTACGACCTCAAGAACCACATGCGCATCCACACGGGCGTGCGGCCCTACCAGTGCGAGTTCTGCTACAAGAGCTTCACGCGCTCCGACCACCTGCACCGCCACATCAAGCGCCAGAGCTGCCGCATGGCGCGGCCCCGGCGCGGCCGCAAGCCCGCTGCATGGAGGGCAGCCAGCCTGCTCTTCGGGCCCGGTGGTCCGGCCCCCGACAAGGCGGCCTTCGTGATGCCGCCCGCGCTGGGCGAGGTGGGCGGCCACCTGGGCGGCGCCGCCATGTGCCTCCCGGGCCCCAGCCCCGCCAAGCACTTCCTGGCGGCGCCCAAGGGCACCCTGAGTCTGCAGGAGCTGGAGCGGCAGTTCGAGGAGACGCAGATGAAGCTGTTCGGGCGCTCGCAGCTGGAGGCTGAGAGGAACGCGGGGGGCCTCCTGGCCTTCGCGCTGGCAGAGAATGTGGCGGCGGCGCGGCCCTACTTCCCACTGCCCGACCCGTGGGCCGCGGGCCTGGCCGGCCTCCCTGGGCTCGCCGGCCTCAACCACGTGGCCTCCATGTCGGAAGCCAACAACTAGGCAGGTCCCTGTCGACTCCAGCCCTCCAGCCCTCCAGGCCGCTGTACCCCACCCCATGGATCTGGACTTTTCATTTTAAAAACCCAAAGGGAAAAATGAAAAAAAAAAAAAAATACTAGCAGTGATGGCATTTTCCTGGGCTCCTAAAGCAGCTGCCTCCTTTTGCTGGTGTCTGAGAGGGGAATCTCTTCCCAAAGAGCCTGGAGCCTGGAGCCCGCGCCTCCCCCCCCCCACCCCTCCCAATCCCCCACCCCCCTCGGCTGTCTCTCTGGCTCTCACATAGAAACTTGCACTGGCCTTTGCCACACGGAGCTGGGTGCCCAGCAGCACTTAGGAGCTGGGTGAGTTCGGAGGGCTCAGGGGCAGTTGGCCTGGTGCCCAGCCAGGCAGAGCAGGAGGAGGGTAGGGGCTGGGCATGCACCTTGGTTAAGCCCCACCCCCTGTGGTAGAGTCTCTGCCAACACTCCTCTGAGGGCTCATTTTCCAGTCTCCAGTGGCCCCGGGGTCCTTTTGAGAACTAGCCACCTGCCTCCTAGAAAGAAATGCTCTTTGGCAGGGAGGCCTCCTGGAGTCAGAAACCAGGCTCTGGGAGGCCAGGGCCATTTTTCCCTTACCTGTCCTGTGACCTTGACAGGTCGGCCCTCTGTAGCTCAGTGTCACCTGGCTGTGGAAGGGGCTGGTAACTTAGGTTCCCTTCCTCTGCCCCTAAACACATATACATCTATCTCCCCAGAGAATCCTGGAGAGGACAGGAGCTTTGTACTCCCCAGGTCCATGGGGAAACAGTTTATCTTTCTGGACTTATTACCATAAGCTCTCTATTACCATATTTGCGTAGGTGAGAACTATGGCCAGCCTAGACAGAGGTCACAGGAGACAGGGGAGCTTCAGAGCGTCACTGAAGCCCACAGGCAGCTCTGGGAACTCCCGATGCCACCCTACTTTCTCTGCAGGCGGCTGTTGACATCTGGACCCCTGGGGGCACTATTTAGTGTTTACCCCATCTCCAATGCCCCCTCCAAGGCTGAGCAGTGTCTTGGGGCTCTCAGGGCCAACATCGAAGAGACGGGGCCACCTCTCAACACCTAGCAACTGTCTCTCCTCACCCCAATTCCTGAAAACAGACAGAATGCCTGCTTTTCTCGGGTTTATCTGTTTGCTTTTGAGTTATAGGTTCCTCAGGGCCATGGCATGGCTAATGATGGTCCCCTTTGTTGTGCAAGAACCCCCTCCACCCCTTCATCCTCCCTGTGGGGGTGAAGTGGGAGTATTTGGGTTCCCTTTTTTGGCAAAAGGGCTCAGTGCAGGGAGGCGGAAGCCTCTGAGGTTTGAAGGGCACTATGACTTAGGGCTGTCACATGTTCTCCTGGTTCGTGAGTTTGAAGCAGGTCCTGAAAAGGAAGGCTGTGCTGGCCCCATGCCTTCCTGACCTTCTCTCCCCCCCTCTCTTTTCTTGCCAAGTTTGCTTTGGTTTCTCAGCAGCCCAGAGAGGAGGAGGATTCATCCCCAGGGAGCCCAGGGCTGGATCCCCAGTCCCTCTGCCATGGGCACAAAGAGACTTCAGCTCTTCCTGTTGCCTTGGCTTTTTCCTGAGCAAACACACAACAAACAAAAAGGCCGAGAGGAGCACAGACTCTGTCCCTGTCACAGTGCTCCAGAAGAGACCCCTCTGGTTCTTTGTACCACCGGATGCCGCTCCAGCTGGCAGGATTGCTACACACACCCTCTGTCCTCAGAAGTCATCTGCCTGGGCAGCCGCCTCTCAGATTCCTGTCTTCGTTTCAGACACTTGCCTCTGAAGCATGCCCATATCCACCAGCCAACGTGCCCGTGTCCCCTCCTTCCCCAATCAGCCAAGCGATTGGGGCCAAACCAAACTTTAAAAGAAAAAGAAAGGAGAAGTGAATAAATTGGATTCCAGTGGTGTTGGGGCTTTTGTTTTTATTTTGTAAAGGTAATGACTTCTTATAAACTCAATTTTTCAGATGACTAGTTAGTTCTTTTGTTTTTTCTTAGCTGCAGTTTGGAGTTGTACATTGTAAAATACCCAAAGATGTTGAGTACTGTATGATCAAGAACTTGAAGCAAATGGGTTGTGGGGGGAGGGGTGCTTGTGTTTTTAGTTTGCTTCCATTTTTTTTTTTTTTTTTTAATGTTTCAATTTCCCTGTCTGTCTGTGGGAGAACTTTGGAATTTTTTCTATTTATAACTCCTTTTTTATGTGATTGCTCTATGTAAAATGACACTCAACAAAGTTTGCCTTAGTGATTCAAGGGACAATCTTCCATAACTTTGGTCGCACGCCGCATCCTGCCGAGAACAACTCTCAGCTAATTTTTCTGGCCTATTTATTAAACAGTATTAATTGACTTGATTAAATTATATTGAGAGTCGCACTTCTGTGAGCTGTGACTTCTGGAAGTTCACAGGACAGCAACAAGCCAATCATAAGGTTTTTGGCTGGTGGGTGTCAAACTTAAAATAATGTCAAAGACACCTTTACGAAACAAACAAAAGCCTTTGACCCTTACTTAATACTTTAAAGGACAGTGTTTTGAGTAAAAGTGAGCTATGGTTGATTAATGTCCTGGTAAGATGCATTCCCCCTTCCAGTTGCCATCTCAGTTCCCCGGGGTGTTGCATGGTAGGGAGGGCAGAACTCAACTCTCAGCAGTCTCTTCCATTCCAGTTCTGCAAAGCATGGTTGGATCTTAAGGTTTGGGGCATCTGTCGGCCTAAGTGCAAGGTGTGCATGTGTGTATGCATGTGCGTGTGTGTGCATGTGTGTATGCGTGTGTATGCATATGTGTGTGTATGCATGTGTGTGTTCACACACGTGTACAGCTGCAGCCCCGGGTGTGTGAGCAAAGGATGTCTACCAATCCCCCAGCCTGGCATGTGGAGTGGGCTCCCACTGGCCCTGCTGCCGTCTGTGCCTGCTTCCTCTCACTTCCTGGCACTGGAGTTGGGCTTCTCCTCCCTTCTTCACCTGAGCCCCTTCCCCAAAAAACATTAGATCCTAAAAGAACCTACGGTAAGGGAAGATACTTCTGTTATTGGACGGGGTCAACTCTACTTCAAACCCACAGCCCAGACTCTTGGTAACACTGTTTTCTAACTGTGTTTCTGGACAACCAAGCGTCAGCCCAGAGCCTCGTTTCTGTTTTGATTCCTTTCTTGCCATAGTAGGCACCTTCTGTGTAGCGTTTCTTGGTACAAAGAAAAGGACAGATCTGGGATTCCAATCTGGACTCCTCCAAGCTGTGACCTCAGTCTAATCACCCTTCCACTCTGGTCCCCACTTCCCTCACCTCTAGTAATAAAGGAAATGGAGTCATCAGAGCTTCTCGAAGTTCTCCATCTAAACATCCCTCAGCAAAGGGGGCCAGCTGGTTGGCAAATTGGGGGCAGAACCCTAAAGAAATAGCCCTAAGTAACCTATCTGTAGTGTACAACTCCTTTGGGAAGGGAGTCTCCTGTTTTGGTTTGAAATTCATGCTTCTGCATTCTGTTACATAACATATACTCATCTGTCTGAATATGAAAACATTGTGTTGATCAACTTGCCACTTAAGTGACTTACCTTTTCCCCAGAACCTTCTAGTGAAGTTAGAGTGTTCTTTGGTCACCCTACAGCTTTGGGAAGCCCCAGCCCGTGGCTGAGGCCTCGGGGGTAAGCATAGCCCACTGCAAGAAACATAAGGCCAGATGCTCAAGAGTTTGCTCAGCTCGGCCATTCTAGGATCATGTGGTCCTCATTCTGGGGGTCAGTTTCCACTAAGTGGTGAAGTAGGTGAAGATGGAGAAGGGGTAAGGAACTGGGCCCAGTTGACCCTGACCCCTGGTTGCTCCTGGATCTCCTGTGAGTAAAATCTCCTTCTAGCCCTGGTCAGGTGGGAAACCCATGGACCCCGGCCATGTGTGGCCTGCTCCCTGGGGTCTCAAGGTGCTAAGGGAGGTGGGGTCCTGACAGCTAAGGAGTCCTTAGTGGAGGGAAGAGGGAGTGAAGGAAGGAGGATGAGGCCTCTGAAGATAGGCCAAAGAAACATGTGCCACTTACCTAGAGAAGAAGGCTTAAGTGATACATTCAAACAGGCATTGGGACTTCTACAGGTGTGTTGGGGAGCGGAAGCTTTCACCAGAAATTTGGCCAACCCCAGCCAATAGAAGAGGGATCCCAGAAGGCAACTGGGTGCCCAAAAAGTGGAACAGAACTTTCTAACACCTGGAGTTGTCCTAAAGAGGAACGAGGTCCCTCGTGAAGCAGTGAGCGCTCAGTCAGGGCGAGAGTTCAACACTGCCTTTCAAGAATGCTGGAAACCAGGTGCGGTGGCTCAGGCCTGTAATCCAGCAGTCTGGGAGGTTGAGAAGGGAGGACTGGATTCCTTGAAGCCTGGAGTTTGAGATTACAGTGAGCTGTGATCACACCACTGTGCTCTAGTTGGGTGACAGAGCGATATTTAGAAAAAAAAAAAAAAAAGATTACTGGAGAAGACAGTCTCCAGGGTGCCTTCCATATAGTTTGTGAAAAGGTGAATACACATCCCCATATGACTGTGGAAGAAGAACCAGGCCAGAGGGAGTCGGGAGGGGAGCGGGGAGGTGAGTGAAAAATCAGCACTGGGCAGGTTCACAAAACTCAGTTTGGTGGCCCAGGGCTGCCAGCCCCCATTTCCCCACCAGTCACCTATAGCAAGTTGGGGCCAGAGAAGGGGACTCCATAGAAAAACCCTGGTTCTTATTTAGAGCCCCCAAACACGTGACAAGAGAACAGCCATGACCCGACGGGAAGTAAAAACCTCGTCTCAGGCCTTCATCTGAGCCGGGGCCTGCCCCTTCCTGAACGAGGACAGATCCCTTTACCCACCCCACTCCTCCTTTCCTGGAGCCTGGACAGCTTTTCCTCCCCGAGGGACCTCTGAGCTCACTGCAGAACGGGCAACCAGCACATCAGGGGCTCTTCCAGAACAGGGCACAGCCAGGTGTCCCTTACATGCCCTTACCCCCCTGAGAGAAGGCGAAGTTAGGGCTTCATAAAGGCAAATGAGTGCAGGGTCAGGCCCCAGCTGGAAGCAGGAGCCAGCGGGGGTGGGGGCCTTATAGGAGGGAAGTGCCAGGCAACTCACATGCAGAGGGACCTCCAGGGACCTGGGACATCCTGGGACAAATTCCAGAATGAGGAGGTTTGTATCCAGTGAACCCCTCTAACTCCCCCATGTCCTCCTTTTTTCTGTTCCCAGTCCCTCTTCCTAACACAACTACCCCTCTGGGTGTAGACACCCTTCCCTTCTCTCTGTCCAAACCTGCCCTGAAAGGAGTCACCA